AAAAAAAAAAAAAAAAAAGAAGTGCCGCAGAATAAGTGTTGTGGTACATAACCACTGGGATTCACTGATAACTATTCGCAATTAGTGTTTTTCTTTTTTCAAGCATCAATGACAGGAAAGCATCAACATCAGCCTCAGCATCAGTTTAACATGCTACTTACCACCACAATTACATTTGCTGCTGGGATTGGAAGATTTTCCACTTCAAGATCTTGACCATCCATGGCCAGCAGATTGAGAGACGAGTCATATGCAGGTCTAGGAAACGCTGAATTGACAATCTGGTGGCGTTTGCTTACTTGAGCTTCGGAAGAGGAATGGTAGCTATGTCTATAGATTTTTTGTGGGGCCATATCCAGGCTCTTTTCAATGTCTTGTGAATGGTGGTAAACAAATACCGGCTTTCCACTCTTTTTCTGATTAATTGCCAAAAAATGATCATTGTTTCCTGAAAAGCACCCTGGAAGAGGGAAGAAGCAGAAACAATATCAAAGACCCTATTCAGTAAGAGAGGTAGATATATCTAATAAGGAGAATTACCCTTTCTTGAGGGGCTTTAAGACTTCTGAAGGATTTAGGTTAGTCTCCATCTTTCTTTCTCTGTTTCATGATCCCCCAAAAATAGCATACACCTTGTGGTATGAAGGCCTCTCAGAGACTTCTGGTGGAAAGAAGTGGGTGTACTTTGAAAAGTTCTATTTTTTGGATATTCTTATGCCACTTTTCTAAGAAATTTCCTCCATTATCTATACCCATAGTTTCAATACCTAGTTGGGCTTCTATTCCTGGATGTCCTATCTGCTGCTGAAATTATAAATAGTTCTATCATATTTAAGCTTTCCTGAAATATAAGCATTTCCTACAATTCTTATTTCATACTTGTTGCTTGTATTACAATTAACAGTTTTCTTCACACTTATAGAATATTTAAGCTCACTGAGAAAAGAAATCTGAGTATACTTATTGTGGGAGAAACTTTCAATAGTCCAGAAAATATCCATCCTTTGCTTCTTTCTTATGTGAATAATATGGCCATCTAGATAGAGACTACATTTCTCTCAGTCTTCCCTGGAACTAAGTAAGCATTGCCATTTGATCACGTTACAGCTATTGGAATATGAGTAAACAGATGTTAGCAGAGATTTAATGTGGGCTTTTTTTTTTTTTTTTTTTTTTTTTTTTTTTTTTTTTTTGAGACGGAGTTTCGCTCTTGTTACCCAGGCTGGAGTGCAATGGTGTAATCTCGGCTCACTGCAACCTTCGCTTCCTGGGTTCAGGCAATTCTCCTGTCTCAGCCTCCTGAGTAGCTGGGATTACAGGCATGCGCCACCATGCCCAGCTGATTTTTTGTATTTTTAGTAGAGACGGGGTTTCACCATGTTGACCAGGATGGTCTCGATCTCTTGACCTCGTGATCCACGCTTTCTTTTTACATTTCCTCCTCTGTGCTGGCTAAAATGCAGATGGTCTGGTAGGAGCATGAGGTGGAAACCATGTGTCAAAGATGGTAGAGCCCTAAGACAAAAGATTCTGATCCCTGATCAGAATACCAACCTCACAGTTCCCACTCAAGACTATTAGAGGAGAGAAAAACAATTTTCCATTGTGTTTTACCTGCTATATTTTAAGAATCTTTGTTATAGCAATTAAATTTATTTAGTAAAAAAAAATTCATCTCTATTTCTTCTGTTAGATAAATATTCATTGCATTGAATAATGGTTTTTTTTGTTTGTTACTGGTCACAGGAGGAAACAGATAATACATGTGAATCAAAAAGAGTATTACTAGGTCAAACACCAATTAGAAATAAACGTGAGATCTGTTATATTACATAGTGCCTAGCAATGGTACCGCAGGTTTTCCCTGGAAACGCCTATGGCAACAAGTGCTGTCCTTAGAAAATCACTTAACTCTTTTTACAAGAATTATTCTGCAATCTCCTACTATCTTTTACTTCCCAAATCTTGCAAGGGCCTTCACTTTTTTTTTTGTTTGTTTTTGTTGCAAGTTTCAGCTATTTACATGCCCGAATTCAATAGCATTATCATGGCAAATCTCCTCCTCCTGCTACCGGGCACTGTAAATTTCTTTTCTCTCAGGTGAGAAACCCAAGTTCATTTATGCATACAATATACCTTTCCCAAAGCACAGAATCATCTCTCAATGAGTGATATTAAAAATAGAAAACTAGGATGAAAATAATATAGTATTTTATTTCTTAACTCCAAAGGAATTACTTCATTGTAGTGATATCAGATAGTTTCTCAGAGGGAAAGAAGAAAATTACTCTCCTTTCAGAAATGTAGAAACTCTTCCAGGACACTACAGTGATATTGTAGTGTCCTGGAAGAGTTTCTACATAAAAGTAATTTACTAAAAAGTAAATTACTTTTTAGTAAAATACGAAATAAACATCTTGTGGTCAGAAAGTTAATATACATCTAAAACATTTTAGCACCATTTTCCATTAATAAAACAGTGGTAAGAATAACAACACTGAGGTATCCTGTTCTGAATTCCAGTATACTACATATGTTCCTAATGATGGTTTCATTTCCAAATCTGAGGAATGTGTTTAATTCAGACAAAGAAAAAGAACAATTACTTAAAGGTCATCATTGTCCAACTATCATCTTTGGCAAACTATGGGTGGTTTGATTATTTAAAAAAAGTTATGGTCAATTTAGCATGCTCAGAACATGATGATGAATTTCCATTACTATTTCAGAATCCATATAAAATATAATTCAAGTGGTCTAAAAAGATATGGCTATTGGTACCAGAAGATGATTCTCATGCTATCTATTATATCATGGAAGAAAGTATTTGACTAAGGAAATAATCTTTATAACCCCACATGAAAGTTGAAGGCATATTGGTGAAACAGAGTTGCTGAAGAGGCAGGACGTATATGTTGGTAACGTAAGTCTTAATGGAAAGCAAAGGCTGTAAAAACTAGCAATTCCTCTACTCTGGATTCTCTATAAACGTTAAGGAAAAAAGAAAAAAGCAGCTTAGAAGATTGGAGGAAGCAGATATCTGAAAAGAGGAGAAATAACTGACAAATAGTAAATTACACAAATATCTTCAATCTTTCTTTTAATATTTTAAGCATCACAGCAAGCCTTTTCAGAGCCACTTTACCTAAACAGAATAAATAAGTCCAGTTAACAAATGTTTGCTAAAATTGGCCTACCAATAAAAGGAAAAAAATTGAAATACAATTGAAACACAATTAAAATTTCCCAACCTTATCCACTTGCTTGTGTGAATGAACTTAGTCCTGCCTTGCTCTTGAGTAATGAGTTCTAAGATAGCAGTGTAATATCAGGTGTCCTACCATAATCATTAGGTAAGAAAAAATTTTCATAGTGCCGTCCTTAGATTCTCTGGATTGGAACTATCTGGGACATCACGATGCAGTTTCTCAGATCCCAGGCTGGAACCACCAAAGCATCATCTCTGGAGATGTAGCCTAGGAATCTGGATTTATAATAAAATTCTTGTATTGAAACTCTGAAGTTTGAGGACCACTGACCTAGTGTCTGGAAGTAGTTTTTTATTTTCCATCCTCAAATGCTACCTCTCTATTGCCTCTTTCACTTCAGCTTTATGAATATACTCAAGTAAACATTTTGGAAATGTGAATATTGAGATGCCAAGTTCTCTGTTAGTGAAGCTGTCATTCAAAGGCAGTCAACCATCACAGATCTTTTTCCTCTCTGTCCTCTCAACAGCTGAGACCCTGAACTCAGATGCAGGTATGGAAGTGCAAGAAACTCACTTCAAATATAATGATATAGACACTTTTAAAGTGAAAGTGTGAAAAAAATATATATCATGAAAATCTAATAAAAAGAAAGCTGGAGTAACTATATTAATATCAATTCAGTGCAAAGAAATTACCAAGGATAAAGAGGGACAATACATAATGATGGATGTATGATGCAATGTACGTAAGAATACATAATAATCTAAAATGTGTATCAAAAATGAGCTTAAAATTCATGAAACAAAGCTGACAAAAATGAAAGGAGAAATAGGAAAATTCACAATCATCATTGAAGATTTTAACTGTTCTCTCTCAGTGTTAAGTAGAATGAGGAGACAGAAAAGAAGCTAAGGTAAGCTTACAAAACAACGACCCATCAACCAAGTGGATTTAATAGATGTTTACAGAACAGACAACCAAAACCACCAGAATACACACCCTTTTCAAGTGCTTATGGGGTATTCAACAAGATACACCATACCCTAGGTCATAAAATACACATTTTGAAAACTGAAATTATACAAAGTATACTCTTCGACCATGAAGGAATTAAACTAGAAATCAGTAACAGAAAGAAAACAAGAATATTTCCAAAATTTGGAAATTAAAAAAAACCCACATTTCTAAATATCCATGGGCCAAAGAGAAAGTCACAAGACAAATTAGAGCATATTTTGAACTGAACTAAAACAAAAATATAACATACCATAATTTGTGGGATGCAGCTGAAGCAGTGCTTAGAGAAAAAAATATAACATTAAATGCTTATATTAAAGGTCTCAAATCAATAATCTCAGCTTCCACTTTAAGAAACTAGAGAAAGAGCTAAATAAGTGTAAAGAAATTAAAAAGTTAAAAGTAGAAATCACTACACTGAAAATAGAAAAAGAAGAGATAAAAATGAAACAAAAACCAGTTCTTTGAAAAGATTAGTAAAATTGATAAAACACTCACAAGATTGACAGAGAAAGAGACTATACAAATTTCTAGTATCAGAAATGAAAGGAGGGATATCATTATCATTATTCAGCAGATATAAAAACGTATAAAAAGAAAAATAACAATCCTCTACACATAAATTAGACAATTTAGATAAAATCATCAGTTCCTTGAAAACCACAAACTATGGAAACTCACCAAAGATGAAATAAGTAATCTAAATTGTGCTAAAATTATAAAATGAATTAAATTTTTACTTAAACTTTTTGTGAATCAAAAATCTTCAGGGCCAAATGGCATAATTGAAAATTTCTACCAAATGAGGAAAAAGATAACATCAATTCTATATAATTTCTCCCAGAAAATAGAAGGGGGAACATTCACCAAAACCATCTCTTGAAGCCAAAATTACCCTGATAATAAAATCAGATAGAGACAATCCCCCCTCCAAAAAACACTGTAGACCAATATTGCTCATGAACACAAATGCAAAAGTCCTGAATAAAATATTAGCAAATTGAATGCAGAAATATATAAAAAGACAAGTGGGGCTTATCCTGGGAATGTAGGGCTGATTCAATATTTGAAAAATAATCTACATAACCCACCCTATTGACAGTGAAAGAAGAAAAATATTGTCATATTAATTGATGGAAAAAACGATTTGACAAAAGTCGTGTCTATTCGTAGTACGAAAAAATTAAGTAAACTAGAAATAGAAGAGAATGTTCTCAACCTGATAAATATA